GGTGGGGATCCCACTTGTTCCCACCTAATTTATGCTAGAATTTGTGGGATGCCCACTTTTTAACATCAGACGTAGTGGGACGTGGTGGATTGTAGGTGGGACTCCCACATAGAGTCCCACCTGCAGCGTCATACTCGTACCTACTCCCTCCGTTCCAAAATAGATGACCCAACTTTATACTATTAGTATAAAGTTGGGTCATCTATTTTGGAACGGAGGGAGTAGCTAACAGGATGGATCTGCCGCTGTGTGGCGGGCAGCTTTCCTGGCGAGGAGAAGCTCGGACGGCGGCGACGCGTGCATGGCGAGACGAAGGGGAGGCGCAGGAGAGTGGCAGCAGTGGGGAGTGAGAGGAGAAGGGGATGAATCTTCTGGCAACACGTAAACAATGACCGACGAGGAATGAATGGTCGTCGCCAAGTCGTCGTCGTCTGGCCCATCTCTCTCTCTCTGTTCCGTGGGCCCAAAACCACGTGGCCTAACAGAGTGTGTCGGCTCTCCCATGCGCAAAAAAAGAGACTTTAAAATCTTTTTGGGCACCATCACTTTTGCATCTAATTTAGAGTACCAGTTATTGAGAAGGAAACAAGATATTGCTACTCCTAATTAACTTCATCTGAAGCAACAAGTTTCTAATTTTCTGGAGCTAGATGCAGATCAGTTCATCAGTACTATTGCACAGTATAATTCAACAATGGGTAATCACCGCTTCTGCCGTCGCCAATGGCGCTGATCGGTTGTGAGGATGCCCTCATCGAACTAACTTGCGCCTACACGAAGTTAATGTGCGTGTGCGCGCGCGTGCGCGTGTTGCATCGGTGCCGAAACAATCGATACAGAATGCCCTTGTGGCCTCCTCAGCTTCCAAAACTACCCGGGTTTTTTTGGGGATAAACTAGCTGGTAGTTTGTTTCCCGCCGTAGTGTCGGCTGACCATCTAGAACCTTCCCTAGACCGCGTTTTTTCCTGCTTTTTTGCATGATTTTTTTCTTTTTCATCTTTTTTTTTATTTTCTTCTGTTCTTTTTATTTTATTTTTGTTTTTAATTTCATGCACATTTTTTGAAATTTGCAAACCTTTTCAAATTGGCAAACAATTTTTGCAATTCATGATCCATTTTTGAATTCACAAAAAAATCCCAAGTTTGTGAAATATTTTTTAACACGGATATTTATTTGAATTCGCAAGCAACTTCAGAATTTGCACACATTCTTTAAAATTCATGAATGTTTTTTGAATTCACTAACATTTTTCCAATCCAAGAACAATTTTTAAAATACTTGAACGTTTTTGCAAACTCGCGAACAATGTTTTGAAAATTGTGAACATTTTTTAAACTCATGAGCATTTTTTGAAATTCATGGTTTTTTACTAAAATGTAAACTTTCTTTTTGAATAAATGAACATTTTTTGAATTAATGCACATTTCTTCCATCAGTATTTTTTGGAGCTACAATCGTATTTGAATCGGCGGACATTGTATGATATTCTGAACAGTTTAAGAAAAACAGGAACATTTTTAGAATTTGTGAACATGTTTTCGTTTTCACAAACATTTTTTGATACATGATTTTTTTTAAATGTATAATTTATTTTGAAATTTGGAACTTTTTTGAAATCCTGAATTTTTTTGAGGAATAAAAATTGAAAAGAAAAAACAAAATGCATAAAGCAAAAAAAATGATAAAAACTGGTGCTTCTTGCAAAGCACATAGGCCGGCCTAGAAGCGCACCCAGCTGCACCTTGCGCGTCACCCAGCATGTTGTGCGCGAAATAGGAGCTCCCCTCTGCCCCTGCTTGTGGCTTCCTGGTTTTAGTTGTGGTTTCGTGGTTTCATGCATGTTGTTCCCCAACGTGTGTTCCTACGGATTTCGTAGCGGTTCGAGTTTCACTCGAGCTACAAGTGTATTTTGTATGGGTTTTAGTGAGTTCTAGTGTGGGTCTCCTATCCTATATATTCCTTCCGTCCCAAAATAAGTATCTCAACTTTACAACTTTATACTAAAGTTAGTGTATGTTGATGGAATTGTACGATGTATTGATCAGGTGCAATCGCACATATATATGATGTACAACGGTAGACCACGACCTCAACTATACAAAGAAATTAGGAGGTGCAACACCCCCCCCCCTCCCACACACACACACACTGTCGAAGCGGCGACATTGCTGACGCAAAGACTGGATCGGAACTCCTCGAAGAATGCCATAAGCAAGCCCTTGGTCATGATATCTGCAAATTGTTGGGAAGTAGGAACGTGTAGAACACAAATATGGCCAAGGGCCACCTAATCCCGAACAAAATGAATATCTAACTCAATATGCTTGGTACGACGATGATGAACCAGGTTGGCAAAGAGGTAGACAGCCGAGACATGTCGCAGTAGACCACCATTGCTCAGTCGACAGGACATGAAAGCTCCTGGAGCAGCTGATGAACCCACAAACACTCGGCGACGACGTTGGCCACAACGCGATACTTAGCCTCAGTACGGAAACGGGAGACCGTAGGTTGCCGCTTGGACAACCACGAGATAAGCGAGGGTCCAAGGAAAACACAGTAGCCCGAAGTGGAGCGACGAGTGTCGAGGCAGCCGGCCTAGTCGGCATCGGAGTAGGCGGTGAGGACAATGTCGGTCGAGGCGTGCAACGTGACGCCGAGATCCATAGTGACACAGATATAGCGGAGACTCCGCTTGACAGTGGCCCAATGAACGTCCCGAGGAGCATGCATGTGAAGATACACCTGCTGAACTGCATACTGGAGCTCCGGTCGAGTGAGAGTGAGGTACTGGAGAGCCCTAACAATAGACCGCTAAAAGCAACATCTGAAGCAGGAGAACCATATGTGGCAGAGAGCTCGGCCTTCGTATCAACAGGCATGGTGGCGGGCTTGCAATTAAGCATGCCAACACGATCGAGGAGTTTGTGAGCATACTTTCGCTGGTGAAGGAAGAAGCCATCCGGACGATGCAACACCTCAACACCGAGGAAGTAGTGCAAAGGACCTAAGTCCTTGATGGTAAACTCAGCGCGAAGACGATCACTGAGCTCACTGAGAAGGCCAGCCATACATGCCGTCAGGATGATGTTGTCGATGTAAAGGAGTATATATGCAGTGTCGGAGCCCTGGTGGTAAACAAACAGCTATGCGTCCAAGCAGATAGAGCGAAACCCAAGTTGGTGCAGAAACACCGCGAAGCACTGCTACCAAGCGCGAGGAACCTGCTTAAGTCCATACAAGAACCACGAGAGCAAACACATGTGGTTGGGATGTGCCGGATCAACGAACCCAGCACCTGGATGGCGAGGAGAAGCTCGGACACCGGCGACGCGTGCACCGCGAGACGAGGGCGAGGCACAGGAGAGTGGCAGCAGTAGGAGTGAGAGAAGGGATGGATATGGTCACTGATCAGTCACCACAACGCGTTAACAAGGACCGACCAGCAATGGTGGTCGCCAAGTCCTCGTTGCGCTCTCTGTTCCGTGGGCCCAAAACCACGTGGCCTAGCAGGTTGTGCACGCCCTCTCGTGGAGCAAATAAAAAATAAAATCAGATTTTTGAAAACTTTTTGGGCACCAGCATTTCTTATACATTTTGCATCTTTTTTTTTGTGAATAAGAACTTCTCATTACTCAACCAAGGGAAACATTGTCAAGTTTACATAAATCCTCAACTTTCCATCGGAGCATGCCGTACTTGTACAAACCAACCTGCGATCAACATGGGCGTGTTTGCTTGCGAAATAGCTGCACTAGTTTAGATCATACGTATAAATATACAACAACGTGTTTGGTTGGCGGAGTGAGGTCGCATCGGAGGGATCGGTGCACCGGGGTACATCACTTGCCTGGTCTTTGTACTGGCCAACAGTGGCGGCGTCCGTTTCCTATCCTCCTTGCAGGCTCCGTCGCGGTGCTCCCTCTCTTTTGAGGTTACTCCGGGTGAAAACTTGATCCGCGGGTTCGGATAATGGCGGCTTTGGTCGTTCCGTTGTTGGAGGCATCGTTTTGGAGTCCTCGCTCCGCCGTCTGTCGTCTCATCTCTCCTCGATGGATTGCTCATGGTGATCTCCGTCGGCTCTAAGCGACGCTTCTTTGTTCATATTTTTGGTACTTTGTAGTCGTTGGAGTGGTGTGTTGGTGCCCGGCACCCTTGTATCTAGCCTTGGGTGTGTGGTGTGTGTTTGTATCGGCTCGCGATTGTAATTGATGAGGGATGCTTTATAATATAAAGCGGGGAAATCCTTTTTCGTAAAAATATACAACAATGGAACAGAGGCAGGTCTATTCTCTCTCTCTCTCTCTCTCTCTCTCTCTCTCTCTCTCTCTCTCTCGGGAGAGGCAGAGAGATGCGTTGCAGCACCCGAGCTCCAGTGCTCTCTATATTTGAACAATTTGAAATTCGTGTTTTGAAAGTTTCAAAAAAATGTGAATTTTTTTCTGGGGATACATATACACATTCTGAATACCCGTGGAAAGTTTTCTTACAAATCTCATTTTGTTTTGGGCTATAGAAAAAAACAAAATTTTGACAGTATGTAGGAGAAAAGGGGTGCCATTTTCTGTCAGAAATTTATTTATTTTTGTATTTCCCAAAATACAAAGTATTTCTTTTCCAGATTTTTACCAGGCCTTAGGAATATGTATATGTATTCACGTATTTGTTTTAAGATTTTTTTGAGCATCTGAAGTGTGTTTTTCAGAAATTTCAAATACCAAGAGCACTGGAGCTCGGTAGCTGCAGTCACTTTTCGGGGAGAGGCAGGTCTATTCAGCACCCAGCATGCAACTTTGCTGATAGAATACCATTCATTCCCGTACCAGTACAATGCTAATGTAACTAAGAGAGATGCTGTAGCTTGTACTGGGAATGTTGATGCCAGCAACAGAAGGCTCTCCCGTAATATCCAACAGAACGGCATCATCAAGTGTGACAGCATCTTGAGCTCATTCAATCAGAGAGACTAGCGTGTTTGTCCAACACCAGCCCAATCTGCTACGGAAGTATCTGGACCACTGGAGGGTAATATTTCGACTGCAAATGCAAATGATTGAGAAAGTTAGAACCTAACGGTGATAGCAGCCGTATATTACAGTGCAGAAACTGCTAGAAAAATGACAAGACTTCATGAGCTGTTCAGTTCAAGGAAGAGTGATTACGAGTGCACCGATCGAGCAAGTATAATACACTACAACGAACTACGTAGTAGTAAGATATACACATACATACAAATAATAAATGTACAGAAATTAAGTAACAACGTACTACGTACATAGGGTGTTGCTTGAATCAAACAGCGTGAAGCATCAAAGATCAGAGTAAGGTGGACGTTGGGATGTTTGCCAACTGCTCTCTCCAGGGAAGCCATTACGGCGTCAAGGATCCACTTCTTCGTGACACCCGAGCAACGCAACTCGCATCTGAATGTGACGAGTCTGGAGAGGTTTTTAACTCCAAAATACCAAGAACGTGCACTGCTGAAAGATTGGTTTTCAAAAAAGATAAATTCCAGCTTTTCTAGATTGGGCATACACCCTGGTGCAAAAAGTATATCGATTCTATATCCCTGCACCGTATAGGTAAAAATCCTCAGGCATTGGAACCCAGCTTCACTACTGACTACCAGGCATTCATCTTTACAAGAAAATTGATTTTTCCTTCCTTGAGGACTTAGAGTGAGCAGAGCAGGCAAGGCTCCAAAGATATAGAGATGTTCGTGCGATATTAATTCCATTTCCAAGCATAACTTTTGCAGGTTTTCAAATGATAGTATCCAATCCAGAACCTCTGGGAGGACACAATCCACAATCTTCAGTTTTTGGAGGTTAACCGGGGGAGAAGTGCACCATGTATTCCCTAAGATGTTGTAATCAACATTCCTTGTGGTCAGAGAACAAAGGTTCCGTGTGCATAGGTTGCCGAGAGAGGAAGCAAAAACTTCCTTGTGCTCCTGTGCAACATCCATATGACTAATGTGTAGCTTCTTCAGATTCTTTAGTTGACCCAGCTCTTGCAGAAAGTTACAGGACTGCTTGCAGGCATTCACCTCTTTCAAGCTCTCTAGTGCTTGCATCTTCGTAATTCCCTCGGGAAATAAAACATGTTTGCCAACAGCTAAATGTGCCAAATTTTCAAGATTGACAATACATGCCGGTAAATTGTATACCTCTGTCTCTCTTATGTCCAACATCTGTAAGCACCTTAAATGTCTGATTTGTTCTGGGAGCTCATTTATCTTTGTCCTGCTAATGTTGAGGTACCTTAGGTGAAACAACCTCCCTACATCAGCAAGATGGTGGTTCTCCAATTGATGGCATCCTGAAAAATCCACTGTGCGCAAATGACTAAACTTTATCACTGAAGGGATTTCTACTTCATCCCCAAACACATTAAGTGATCGGATATGAGACAATATTAGGCTTGTCGGCATGAGACTATTTGCTTTCCCTTCGGCTTGCATGGAGAGCCGACGAACTCTTCTTTGTGTCCTACTAGTTAAACTGGGGACACTAACGAAAGTAATAAAGTTCTCTTCGATGGACTTGGATACTATGAAGTCAAGAATTGCGTCATGAACTCGACAGGTAAGCACATTATCATATTTGTCCAGCTTATGAGTCTGGATCAAACTCCTATTGACGAGCTCATTAAAATATCTCTCTCCTAACTCATATGCCGAATATCTGTCATCTCTCTGAACAAATCCTTCGGCAATCCATCTCCATATTAGTGCTTTCTTCTCAATAACAGAATGTTCTGGAAATATGCTTAGATATAAAAAACATGTTTTAAGATGAGGAGGGAGATCAAAGTAACTAATTGACAATATCTTAATCATTCCTTCGATGCTAGGATTCCTTTCAAGTGCACGGCCAATTGAATCTTTCACTTGGTTCCATAAATTTTCTGTTCTTCCTCTAGTAGCCAACAGACCAGATATAGATATTATCGCCAAAGGCATCCCATCACATTTTTTCAATATTTGGTTAGAAACTTTTGTAAGGGATGGAGGACATTCTTCTCCAGAGTTGAATAATCTTCTATGAAACAGTTGTCTTGAGTGGGTCATGTTAAGAGGTCTTATATTGTAAATATGGCCACCAATTGATGAATGACATGAACATGCAACATCAGTCGAATGAGTAGTGGTGATTATTACACTGCCACATATGGTCATAGGGAAAGCATACTTAATAACATCCCATGTTTTAACATCCCATATATCGTCGATCACTATAAAATGCCTACACATGATTTTATAAGTGATATTAGTTAATACGGCATCTTAAAAATGAAGTGTACAACAAGAGAAGCATAATGATGAAAATAATTATGGAAGTATTCTGATCGATTATAAATTTACCAATGTAAGATTGATGTGAAAAAACATCAATATAAATCTTAATGGATGAAAGTGAATTGAAATGTATAAAAAGTACCTTTTCTCGGTTAGATAATCACTAATCTTGCTAATCACTTGTTCTAGGCTTCCTGCTTCAGTGTGAGCGTAAGGTTGACAACTAACTTCACTAAGAATGGTTCTCAAGATATTCATCATGTCTGGATTTCGCGACACCGACACGAAAGCCTTGCACTTGAATTTCTCTTTGAGCTCTTGATACACTTGGTTTGCAAGAGTTGTCTTGCCCATTCCTCCAGATCCGACAATGGTGACCACCTTCAGTTGTTGTTTCTCTGACAAACATCCATCCAGTCCCGTCAATAGCTTGATTACCTCGGCCTTGGGTTTATCAATTCCGATGAGTTTTGATGCATGCTCAAAGATAGCAAGAGCTCTAGGGTCAGCAACTTCATTTCTAGTGTTAGAGAAGGCCTCATGGGTCTTAGAGTAAGTCTCACGTGTCTTGTACCTTGCATTCCTGTCGGCCACCTCAATTATCTGTTTCTTCAAATCTTGTATCTCGATACCAATCCGCCGACGAGCCTTCATCTTTCCCATCTTCTCTAGCAAGTGTTTGCTCTTCTCCATAAATCCATCCGGCTTAGTATCTTTGTCGTCAATGTGTTGTATGAAGTCGTCGATGGAGTCTTCCATGTCGTAGGACAGCTCTCGAACCTCATTCATCCAAACTTTGTCCTGCATATCGGAATCCTCCTCCCCTGACATTTTCGTGAGGAAAGCATCCACGGCAGCGAGTTCATGAGTGAGGGACTTGATCTCCTTGCGCACCCTCTTAAAACGCTTGTACTCATCGCCCAACAGAGTGGTCATCTTCCCCAGGACGGGTTTCAGCACCCCTGTTGCTGCACTCACCAGAGCTGCATCCATGGGTTGCAGGGCTTGGTAGCTCGGTTTATTTGCACGGATGGAGCTTGTATATCATCGACCGCATCGAGAACTAGAAGTAGTAACTTTTTAACAGTTAGTACGATTTGTGTCTGGAAACTACAACTCCATTTTCTATGTAAGGAAACTACAACTCCATAGATTAGAGGAGAAAGGAGCACGGCATGGGAGATGGATGGGGTCCGTACATACCGGGATGCTGCCGTTGACCAAACTCCGGAGACCTCGACGCGGAGGACTTGTGCAGCTGGGCAAAGAGTGAGGAGAAAGAGAGGATGTAACTACGAAGTATGTAGGTGTTTGTTGTCGAGCAAAACGCGTGCCTAACGCGAACAGGAGACGAACTGGCCGTCGGCTGATGGACTTGTCTTTGACTATAAGCTCCAGTTACGTGGAGCCTGTGTGGCCTCCTATATGATCAGTGGCGGAGGCAGCACCCGGCGACCCGGGGCAGCTGCCCGGGCTCACCAGCCAGCTGCTGTATAAAATACGCTAATTTGCTTTTTTGTTAGCGTCACATACTAATGACGTACTAATCAAATTCTTGTGCCTATCATGCAGAGTTCGGTCGCTGCAGAGACTGGTTCTTACAAAAATAATTAAAGACATGATGAAAGTTGACAGACTTCTTGTAGTTAAGCAGTTTACACGTCGGCATTTTCTAAATGTTTAGTTGCCTCCTATATAGGGGCGACTAAGAAGTCTGTTTACATAACTTCTACTCATGAAAAGGAGCTTGGTGTGCCCTCCTATATACTCATGAAAAGGATATCTCATAATTAAGGAGATGGAGACACCGGCGCAAGAGGGGCTTGCGAGGAAGGAGCCGGCGGTCCTACGGCTACGACTAGTCGAAAGAGCAGACCGGTGGCTGATAACTTCAGACCCCGTAGAGCTTGTCTGGCCTACCGTTGTGCAGATTAGTCTGAGAGGCATGTGCCAGAACAGAACAAAGAAAATTCTTAAGATTGTGATTGCTGGTAGAATAGACTGGATTTTCTACTCTCGGGTTCAGTACACCCAGAGTTCGCATAAAAATTGAAAAAACAGCATAAAAAAATTCAAAAATCTGAAACTTCGCGACATCAAACTTTATTGTATGTTTGAGCTTTGTGCAAAATTTCATCAAAAACTAACACCCGAGGAGCTCTCACCAAAAAGAACAAAATCGCTCCTCAAAGTTTTGTGCACTGTTTAAGCAGTGAATTTGTTTTTTTTTTTTGTGACAGCTCCTCGGATGTTAGTTTTGGATGAAATTTTGCAAAAACCTCAAACATATGATAAACTTTGATAAAGAAAATGCACACCAAAAATTATTCCATCAGTCAGCTAACGTCCAACGACACGTATAACTTTCAAGACTCGTTCAACGTACAAATAGTTTCCAGTGAACTAATAATCTATCTAGTTGTTGTTGTTGTTATTATTATTATTATTATTATTATTATTATTATTATCTATACGTACTTATAAAGAGATGTGAGGGTGTCAAAAGGCATATCAACTCCTCGTACTCCATTTTTTTTGCGAAAAATCAACTCCTAGTACTCATCCCACTGTCCTGCCAGTAAGGGCATGTACAATGAAGGCATCACTATACAGATGCCCCAACTTTCACATAGATATTTTGGACTGAAACCACCATATGAAAATAAGACTAGCCCAACGCTGCAGCCTCCCTAGTGGCCCACTTCTTCACATCATCTCTCTCTAAAGCGAGGAAGGTTGTTATGGTATTGGCCAGAAGAGAGTTGAAGCTGCTTTTTGTCAGCGGAGAGGCCGCTTCCTCTGCAGGCACTCGTTTCACTCTGCAAGCAGCATCTTTTTGTAGTCTGGACCATTAAATCCGGCGTGGAGGGGTGGGGCACCGGTCCAGAGTGGAGCGTTGGTCATGCCCTAATAATATGGCTTTGGAAACCTTGTCGTCAGCTTAAACATAAAATCTGTTTCTGGCTTTTAATCAATAATATACTGAACACGAGCGCTATGTTCCAAAGAAAAAACCTCTGCATTCAGGATTACACATGTGTCATGTGCCACATAGATGTTTATTGACAAGGGATCACATGTTCTTCCTTTGCACAACTATGCTGGCAATATGTTTGCCCCTCATGGAATCCTACTAAGACATGTATTCAGGATGAAGTCTTCCAGCTCAAGCAGTTGCTCAATGTACCATTCGCTCTGGAGGTTATTACTATATAGGCACGGTTGCCAATATAGACAGACAAGGTTCTGCAGACGTGACTCGTGACGGATCTGAGGAAACGCGTGGTTGGGCTGCATCAATGCAGTCACCGGCTCAGGGAGCGTCATGTCCGAGAGCAACTAATCAGTGGCACCTCTTGCGAGTGGCCGGCAAGGGTCACTTGTGGGCTGAGAACGCGCCACATGGCACGTCCTTAGCCATCGTACGTGTCGCGTGCTGGATATTTTCTCAACATTTTTTCATGTACGCGTTTTTGTGTTTTAGTTGTTTTTCAATTTTTTTTGGCTTTCATGGGATTCAACTTTTTCTAGGTTTTGGAGGGGAGAAATTCAAAACAAATTTGTTAGAAAAAATGTATTGTTTTTCTTCCATGGTATGCACAACTGTGCCTCTTGAAAAAGGAAAAAATGCAATCTTTTTTTTTTTGCTTCCATAGGATGCATAGATTTGCCTTCGTGAGAGGCGTAGTTGTGCCTCCTTGAACAACGAAAGAAAAAAGCATGTCGTTTTCCTTCCACAGAAGACACATATTTGCTTCTATGAGCGGCACCTCTCGAAAAGAGAAAAAAAAATGTTTTTTTTATTTTTGCTTTAGCGAGAAGCACATATTTACTTCCGCAAGGACCTCGGAGCTTTGGAAACCATTGAGGAAGTTGAAAGACGCATCCACCATTGCGGTGCTGCTTGAGAGGCTCAGAGCGCTTGCGTCAAAGCTATGGCGACACAGGACCCCCAATGGTCAGCAGGGAGGCTGACTAACATTTGGCGTTCTGTACTGCTCCGCTACACTTCGTCGTCTGTATTAGGCCCTTAAGTCTGATGCTTGGACGAGTGCCATTGGCCCGATGGGTCTGTATCGAACCTTTTCTTTTTCCTTTTTTCTTCATTTTGTACTTGAGTTCTCCATTAAACTTCGATGTGAACTTGTAAGGGCTTTAGTTCGCTCAAGCCGGGCAATGTGCCTCCTATCTAACAGAGAAAAAAACCTCGGATCACCTGGAGCTTGTCAAGCCTAGCGTTGTGCAGAAAACAAGTGAAAGGCATGTGCCCTCCAAAAAGGGGAATGGAGAAAATTCTGAAGAACGTGATGGTCCACATACCCTCCGAAAAAGCACAGAAATATGATAAAGAAAATCCACGTCCGAAGTTCCACCGTCTACTAACTGCCCAAGGACACATATAATTTCCGAGACCCGTTCAACAGTTTCCAGTCCTCATTGAACTGCAGGATGTAGCTGCACGAAATGCACTACACCCAAGTCAACGGAAGAAATCCACCCAGGCCGGTCGTGCAGCATAGCTTTCCTGTTGGCCATCGAACCTCTGTTTTGAATCTCTTCATGCAGGCTCTATGTTTCTGAAAATTTAGTCATTCAATGAGAATGATGATATCCATTGAGAAGGTCCTGAGCTGTGCTAACTTCCCTTGAATCTCAGTGTTTAGTGGATCCCAGCTTGGACATAAATACTGCCAACAAGCTTTTGCAAACTGACAGTGGAAGAAAAGATGGTCTCTAGTCTCCAGCACAATTCTGTCACACATGACACAAGAGTAGTTTAAGAAAGAAGTGCTTCCTCATTACAACATCCCTTGTGTTCAGTCTGTTCTGAGTGAGAAGGCCAGCAAAATAATTTATGCTTGAGCTGTGTGCATGCCTTCCATGGCCACTGAATGGCAGGAACGACTGGATGCTCACCCATGATGAGCTGGTAAGCAACTGAGACTTTGAAAGTTCTCAAACACGTGGGAATGTACTCTAGGCGGCACTTGTCAGGAACTTCAGTATACTGAAAATGTCTTGTGTGTGTATTACAGGCCTTGACGTTCAGCCACACGCTTGCGCTGGTTCTGATTTCCATGCCCGAATCCATCAGCGTCATCTTCGTCCGTGAAACAGAGCACGTCTACCTTGCAACGTCACCGGATTTGTACACGCGAAGGAGGAGGAAAAACACAACCCAACTGAAACACGGTGAGAGCCATTACAGTCGTTTGCTAATTAGCTTTCTCGAATGGCAGTAACCGATTTGAAAACATCAGTAGAGCTTGGTACCTGCAAGTTTGATCCGCTACCACGTACCAGACCTCGTACAAGACAAGCAGAAACTTAGACACATCCATTGCAGACTGGTACTGAAGCATCAGGAGAGTAGGCAGCAACCGTCATCTGCTACTGCAAATTAATTGATGAGTGGTAACATCAAAATTCAACAGCAATATATATCAACCGTATGTTGAGTTGTGAAAGACTGTAATCATATATAACAGCATCCAAATCGTCGAGAGAACAGGAAGAGCTCATAGAGTGTTAAGTTGAGGAACATATAACAGGGCACTGATCAGCATTCCTTGAAAACTAG